GTTGTGAGCAGAGCAATCGCAAATTCTGAAGGTAGGTGGACTCAGTAAAACATCCAGTGTGAGCTGACACATGGTACAAGATTCATAAGAATTGCATAAAAGCTAGCTCCACGGACACGCTGTAGCTTCTGAACAGCTTTGGTGCCCTTCCAAAACCGTCCGAGTGGAACCCGAATCAGAAGTTAGTTTCACCACGTCTGTGCTGTGATGCCATGACGGAGACAAACATAGACTTCTGACATTAGCTGAAACAGAGGAAGAATAGATAGGTCTGTGTGACTGACTATGTTTTCTGGGTTTTAGTCCTGCTGCAGCATGAAGTTGTATATATGAGATGATTCCCTGACAGATAAGAATCTAAACATTTAAAGTGCATTAAACAGTTTTTTTCTTTTTCCTTTTTTTGTTTGTTTGTTTTGTTTTTTTCAGTTAGCTTTAGGGTTTCTCTCCACAATAAGTTAACTTACTATGTATGCTGAGTAAATGAATACATACAAAGCCAGAAAAAAAGACAAATTCTAAACACTTTGGGGATTACAAGTGCATAGACCTTACTTTTTCATCATTGTATTTTTTATGCCTGTTGTCTCATTACTCTAACATTTTCTTTGTTTCTGTCTTACCTCTCAGATCATATCAGTGACTGGTTTTGTGGATGCTGACAGGGATGACCTGAAGCTGATGGCCTACCTGGCTGGTGCCAGATACACTGGATATCTTTGTCGCAGTAACACTGTCCTCATCTGTAAAGAGTAAGATTGGGGGGAATTAATTAGTGCCTGCAGAGGGAATCATTAGTAGTTGTCTTGCATATCTATTGTAATGCACCAATATAAATGACCCATTAAACAACAGAAACTAAAACGGCTACCAAAAAAAGGTTACTGACATTAAACATTGTTGAAGGAAGACATCACCGACCTGCCAGATTTGATTATGCATTGTGGACGATGTTTCATCTTCACAAGAATTAGTTTGCTCTTTACACAGATCACCTGTGTCTCTTAATTACTTTTCAGACACTTAACACTACTGCTTTACCGGTCTGTTGAAGCAGCAGCATTCTGTTTTTCAGACATAGGACACTTTTACCCACTATGGTGTCGGAGAGAGTCACAGTGTGCATATCATTTCTGTCAGACACATGAAATTTGACAATACATCAAGTGATGTTTAATACATAATAATACACTAATAAAAGATTCAATCTAAAGTAATAGCAGCTTATCAAACTATTCGAGTAACCAAGAGCCTAGTTTATTTATGATTTCCTGAACATTGAAAATTCCGTCAATGTGTGATGATGATCTAACTACTACTTTATCAGCAGTGACATAAAAATATCCTGACACCTGTAATGGAGTTCAGGACTCAACCTGAGGACATTCGCTATTGGAAAAATGTTTAACTGTAGCTGATAGACTGTGACTGTTTAAGCTCATCTGTACAGAAAAGTACGGAGTGTGATTTACCAATAAATCCTGACCGATCCTCTGTATGTCGGGGGTCATTTATGATTCAAAGTAATTAATGAAAACATAACTGTTGCACTGTGTGGAGATGCATGCAACTTGCTTTTGGAGACCCTCATGTGGATCCTACTGCTCTCTGATGCTGGAGGTATTTAATTAACTCAGGAGAGAATGCACCTACAAACAGCTAGAAGCACCAAACTAAACTTTAGCTACTGTTAGTGTTTTGTCAAAACCTGGATTACATTTGTTTTTGATGAGTCTTGTTAATCTGAGCTGTTCTGTTTTCATTCATTGAAGTTTTATTTTTATGGACATTTCATTTTGTAATAGATGTGAAGTTGTAGAGCCAAAGGGAATGAAAAATGTGCTTAGTGATTTTATACTTTCCATCTGTTGCTCTCTCTTTGACGTTTTTAGACCAATAATTGTTTGAAAGTTTGAAAGTGTTTCCCAAATCACTTCACACATCTTGAAGTATGTTGCTTGTCCGTGCCTCATCTTTAATGTAACTGCATGCAGCTCAGACTCATGCTGCGTTGAAAATGATGTGGAAATGTTACAAGCTCCAATCTAGTAAGATTACTCTAACAAGTTTTACAGGAACGAGAGCAGGGTGCTCATTCAGACACATTTAGATGCCGTCACATTAACAGACAGGAGGTCATGTCTGAAAGGGGCTCTAATTGTGCTATTGTGTTAGTGCTGTAGAACAGAAACCTTTATTCAGTGATGACCTACTGTAGAATCTCATACTGTACATCTATTCAATTCAGTTCAGTTCAATTCAGTTTTATATGTATCGTGCAGCCTACAACACGTTATCACACGGCGCTCAACATAGTAAAGTATAGACCTTACAAAAAATACAAAAAACATCTGAAAGGAGCAATGTGAAATCTCTGGGTCATGTTCATTTTAAAGATGTTTAGCGTCAATTCTGAAAAATGTCTGCCACCCGTGTTAGCCTGTGCAGAACCAGGTACATTGTTGGTGATGTGGCTGTCTTGCTGATCTCTCTTCAGACCCAGTGGACTTAAATATGAGAAAGCCAAGGAGTGGAAGATTCCTTGTGTGAATGCCCAGTGGCTATGCGATATACTATTGGGCAACTTTGAAGCACTAAGACAAATTCAGCACAGCAGATACTCCATCTACACACATCCTGAACCACTGGTGCCTAACCCTCAGCTTGTCCAGAACCTGCTGGGTAAGTACTGCAGAGTACACTGTAATTGGACCAGTTAGTTCTCTTGTGTTGTGTTGTGTTGGCTTGGTAAAATAGATTTAGGAAAAAAAATATCTGGAATATCACACAAAATGCCATCCAGTTACACACAAACTTCTGCGCTGTTATCGTTTGTTCAGGGTGTTTTTTTGTTGTTGTTTTTTTTAACTTCATATCTTTCTGTGGAATATCTCACCACCGGACAGTAAAGAAAGAACTATATGATTGTGTATGGTGTTAACATCTGTGCGTACATGAAATGAAAATGCCCTGAGCTTGATAATGTATAGAAAATATAGTCTGTCAGTTGGAATGGTCAAACTTGTTATGCTTTAGTTTGTATGTGTGTCTTTAAGTGTCCTGACTTTGGTTTGTGTTTTTCTCTGTAGCTGCTTGGAGAACGCCAATCAAAGTATCGCCTGAAGCTTTGGCGGTGAGTTTGTTCTGTTCTGTTCTTATTCTGATGATGTCAGTTATGGTACGGTGCTGCGTTAGCACCAAGCTTTAAGTCTTGATTTGCTTTCATGTTATCCCAACATAGAGGACAAAATCCTCCATAGTTGCGTCTACATTTCCAGCATTTGGATATAAACTTGTGTTTCTGTTGTGTGGTTAGCTTCTGTGTAACTGTTCTATTAACATGTTGTTTAGAGTCTCCAGCTGCTCCAGAAGCAGAAGATCACCGACTCTACCAACGCTCCTGCAAACAAGAAGGCCAGGTCAGTACAGCGGGTCTGGATTCATCCTGCTCGCTACTAAAAAAATGGACAGAGTTAGCCCACATATCCATCTAGATGACCATTTTCTTGTGATTGTTTGAGTTAAAGTAGAATTGTGTGTGTATGTGTGTGTGTCTGTCTATGTATAGGCTGGAAGAGATCCAGTCTCCCAGTAAGAAGCTTCCTCCAGAGTCCACCCCTCGGGTCATGTTTACAGGTTTTGAGCCAGCACAAGTACAGCAGTACACAAAGGTAACGTCTGCCTCTACACTTATGGATGCAAGTGTTATTAGATGACTTTTCTTTTTACTTGCATCCACCCATCAGATTGCGTGACAATGACCAGTCATCAAACTCAATGCTAATGTTATATGCTGCACATAATCAAGTCCTGAAATTAGGTCACTAGTATCTGTTTTTTAAGTGTTAACATTAACTTCTCCCTTAATGTTGTGTTTAACGTGTTTATCTTCATCTAATTCTTTCTTGCAGAGGTTACATGCTTTAGGTGGTGAAGTAGCCGACAGCAGTCTGAAAGCCACTCACCTGGTGGCCAGTAAGGTGACTCGCACCGTCAAGTTCCTCACTGCCATGTCTGTGGTGAAACACATCATCAGCCCAGAGTGGCTGGAGGAGAGCTGGAGGAGCCAGAAGTTTGTGGGTATGTTTGTGGTTTTATATCAGGAATAAAACTGCCTGACTTTTTTTTAATTTAGTGTGCAATTTCCTTACTGCTACAAACATTAACTCATGTGAGTGTCTGTGTATGTTGCAGATGAGCAGAGTTACACTCTGAGGGATGCAGAAGCAGAGGTGTTGTTTGGCTTCAGTCTGGAGGAGTCACTAAAGAGAGCCCACAGTGCACCGCTCTTCAAGGTTAAACAGCAGATTTCACTCACTCTCATGTTCTTCTCAGTGAAAACTCATTCATCAGTGACTAAAAACTAGATGATATGAAGATACAGGCATCACCCTAACACTTAGAAATGGATAAGCTAAAGTAGCATTATCAAGTGATGGATATGTCGGATGTCTTTTATGTTGGAGGAGATGTGTTCAAGGACTAACAGTGAGAGTAAACCATTTAGCTTCCTCTTTCAAGATTAACCTAAACAGTAAACAGTACTATTATAAACAGGTAGGTCATTCATATTCGGAACAATCAGTTGTTCTGTAGTGGAGAGAATGCTCGTGTATGGCTGTGGCAATGCCAATGCTAATGCAAAGTGAGCAGGATCAACAGAAAAAGCGATTCTGTTAAAACAACCAGAGTTGGGGAATTAGAAGGTTAGATGTTAAGATTTAAATGGCAACAAAATAAGATCAGTTGTTAGTTAAAATGTCGACAAATCAAATGACTGGATTTGACAAAAACTTAACTCAGAGCTCTTCGACAGCAAGAGGAATGTTGCAATAACTTGGAGTTGTTCTCATGAATTTACTTGGTCCTGACTGTGTCTCTGTGTATTTCATGTGATGGTTGATGTAGGGGAAGTACTTCTACCTCACCCCAGGGATGTGCCCCAGCCTCAGCACCATGAAGTCCATCCTGGAGAGTGCTGGAGGAAAGCTGCTCGCTAAACAGCCCTCATACAGAAAGATAATGGAGCATAAACAGAACAAGGTGCTTAAACAGAGCTGCATTCTTTAATGTCCCTGTACATTTTGGGGAAATGTCATGAAACATAGGCTGCTTCTGTCATTAACTGTCCTAAATACGTTCTTATCCAAAAGTGGATAATAAGAACTAAATATCAAACACAGCCAATAATAGGCATTTTTATTAATAAAAAGAAAAAAACAAGCAGGCACTACAACAACTCTGATCACTTGACAATGGTCCTTCTTGGTTTTTTAAATGTATTTATATATTGGTCTTTTTTTTCTTCTTTTTTTATAGAACCTTCCGGAGATCATCTTAATTTCATGTGACAATGACCTCCATCTATGTAGAGAGTACTTCTTGAAAAATATTGGTAAGACACACACACATACACACACACACACACACACACACACAAACAAAAACATTTTAACATTGGACGGCCAGACACAGGCTTGTGTGTCTTCAGTACAGCATGTTCCATTAGAACCTGTGATTCAGTGTTTGCAGTGTGTTTAAGAGGTTGTCTCATGTCTCTGTTATCCAGATGTCCACAACGCTGAGTTCATCCTGACCGGAGTTCTCACCCAGAAACTCGACTATGACTCATATCCTTTAAAGCCAATGAGAGTTAAGAGCAAAAGACTTCTTATAGGTCAGTAAATGCCACTCACTGCATAATTTTTACCTGTTCCCTTTAGCCTGATGACACATAAAGACTACATGTAGTCATCATTTTGCATAGCCTTTACGATGGCCAAATAACTACTACAATGATCCTTAATTAAAACATTACTCTGAAGGGGTATCGGGGTCAGAAAAATATGCATAAATACAATATGCAACAGAAGTGAGTACAGCCCTGTGCAATATCATTTAAACACCAATTGATTATTTACAGTAATTCCAGAACTTCTAATTAGACAAGGTCGTCTTATGATGACAATCAAAAACCTGTACTTTAGAGAGGTAATATTAAAAAAATATAGAAAAGTGAAAGTAAAAAAAAAAAAACTGCAACAAAAGGTAATACACCTGTGATCACTGAAATGCGTGTTCATAAGCCTGTGCTCATTAAACAGTGTTAGGTATTCATGTAATTTCCAGTCAGTCTAACTGCATCATGGCTCCACATGGAAAAGTATTTTCAAAGGAGCTAAAATATGTGTTTATGAGACTTCACAAAGAGGGAAAAGGACACAGAAGATTGGTGACAAACTAAAAATCTGCAGAAATACAGCAGTAATCAGGAGGTATGCAACGAGTTATAGTCCCACTATTCAGAGCCAGCGTGGTTCTAAAATGATGCCACCACTTAGGTCTTAAAACTGTGAACAATGGCAGAACATCTTTCTAAATATTAGTGCAGCACAGGTGTCCTCAGTGCCAAGGAGGATCGAGTCCGTCGTCAAACGTAGGTGGACATAGGTGGTATTAAAATATAATCTAAATCTGAAGTGATGAAAGGTGCACTGATTTTTGTTGCACTGAGTTCTTACGGCAGGGTAACTGTAATGTAGTAAATCTAAACTGATAGAGTTTCATTTTATGTGGGAGTAAATACCCTACTGTTCAACTTGGAAGTAATGCAATTACTGTAAGATAATTCAGATAATTCAGTGATATTACACAGGGTTGTGCTCACTTCTGTTGTATACTTGCTTCAGTGATTTTAAATGAATAAATAACAGTTGCTAAGAAGTGTTAGTGACACAAGGCAAAGGAGAGGTCAGATTATGCCTTCTCCCCAAACCTGCGAGAGCCCATGAGTGAGGCATGTGTGCTCTGGCCATCTCATTGAAACTGGTGTGGGCTGACTAAATGTTCAGCAGCAGCACATCCCCGTGTGTGGAGTAAAGATGGTGCTGGTGGGTGCTATCCTGCATTAGTTGGAGGACCTACAGTAGACAGCTCAGTGTTGTTGTTGTTAGTATTATTATGTCATTTGTAGTAAAAAAAAAACTAAACTAAACAAAGGTTGTAGCTGTTTTGTTAGTGTGATAGCAGTGAAAAAAACTTTCCTTGACAGTCACACTTATAAGTTCACTTGATTGAGCCACACTGATGTCATGGCGGAGAAGAGGAGGAAGAGATGAGGAAGCCACCTGTGTACAGTCCAGCCACACTGACTTTTCTATGTTTTTATTTCTGTGCATAGATCTCCAGTCATTTTGTAGCTTTTTGTTACCTGTTCGAAATAAATAAATGGATGTTATTTTTGTGAAATGATTGTTTAAATTATGGAGAATTAAACCTTTTTCCTGTTGTTAAAATAGAATGTGTAAAGGCTTCAGCTCGTTCATGCTGCTTTTTAAATAAAAAACTGTACATTTGTTTGTGCAAAAGCATTTGGAGTTGTTTGCTTTCTTATCAAGAAAGTGTCAGATTTTTAGGCAATGTTGATGTCTTCAGCCTATTAAATAAACTTCAAAAGCACTGACTGACCATGAATGAAAGCTTTATTCACAGGTCCAACAACCCCACACTCGCGCTGTAAGAAGAACACATTTCAGAACAAAAGCTCTGTCTCCGTAAACTCCCACTTTTGAGGTTTTGAAAGCTTTCTTGAAGGTATTCCTCCCAGGTTTAGGCAGATAATTCCTGATAGATTTGATTTAATTAACTGTTAATGAGGGTCTGGGGTAGTTACTGGTGAAGTTCTAATTGCTGGCTGTCAGACAGATAGCCTCAGGTCATGTATGTGTTTGAGGGGTGGGTATGGGGGTGGGGGAGGGGGCAGTGTCGCCTGCAGTGCTGCCCTCAAAAACTACAGCAGACTGAATTAGACACAGCCTGAGCCAAGGTCATGTGCTACATATTCTATGTATGTACCATCGTCACTGCTAAATGGTATTTACACGAACAGGGAACGTGACATTTACTCAATTAGTCTTGATGTTTATTAGGAGTCGATGCAGAACCAAAGCTTTAAATGTCCAAACTGACATTTGTTGGAGGCTTTTTTTTTTTTTAAATTAAAAAAAAACAAAAACCTTTCATATCCTTAAAATCATCACATTGATCTCAGCTCGGCTTCGACTAAGTGGAACTGAGTTCAGTTCTGTAGGACTGCTCCACTGGTTTTAAACAGGACTTCCACCTGGTATAATGTAAACTAGTGTTAGTTACAGCATACTACCCTCTGCAAACATGACCAAGAATCCACATTTTTCAATAAGAGGAGATAGAGTTGATGTGCTTTGAAGAATTTCAATTGAAGGTTTTTGTTGACAAACCAAATTCGCAATTTATTTTTGAAAGCTGAGGTATTGTAAATGTCTTAATGCACGACTGGAGGCGACATTTAAATCAGTATTCAACAAGTACTGGGATCTGTGCTGTGACAGCAGAACAATGTCAGAAGCTGGTGGAGAGCATGCCGAGACACATGGCTGCAGTCATCAGAAACAATAGTTATGCAATCAAGTACTAACTCCTGTGTGTATCATGTGACTGAAAACAGATAGAAAACATGGAATGCCTAAAAACGCTGTTTTTGGAAGTACAATGCCATAGCATCTTACATACTCATGTAAGAACTGGAGTGATTTTGGTTATTGTCAAGAAAACCCTGGAACATGGCTAGATATCAGCTCTTTAATTAAACTAATTTAAGAGCTGATATACACACACACACACACATATATATATATATAACTCTAAACAATGGTGATAAAAGGCACATTGTTCGGACAAATATAATGATAACAAAAATAAAAAACAAACTATACACACACACACACACACACACACACACATAAAACTGTTTAAATAATGGTGACAACAAACAGGTGACCTAATGGTTAATGGTTTTACTGTTTTAGTTGTGCCTCAAACGCTGTGCTTTGGCTTGATAAAAAGTCGGTAAGAAGATTTTTCACCACCGTGAGTGTCTTGTAATTGATCGATAAAGCATTAGCAAGCATGAACCATTAGTTACAGCTAATGAACTGTCCATTTTTATCTATTAAAGGTTGACTCTGTGGCTTGCTCCTGTCTGTTTCTGTGAAAAGCAGGCGATGTTTGGGCAAGAAGTTGGTCTTATACAGTTGTAGACACTTAAAATTTTTATTTCACCATCTTCATAAATAGAGAAAATAGGCTGTTGCTGTGCCAAAAGGTTTAATTCATTCTCAATCAATAAAACTTTATTTATATCACAAAAGTCATGCACTAAACACAGGTACTGAACATAAAAAGAGTTTAAAATGTGTATGCTTTTTATTAAAAATAAAGTATAAAATAATAAGAACAACAATAAAATAAGGAGTATGAAATGACAGTAAGATTACAAGAAAATATCCAAAACAAAACCCCAAAACATGCCAGAGCAAAGTCGGACTAAAAAGGTGAATTTGGATTTTCTTTTCCACACTCTGCTGCTCTCACATCCTCCAACAGGATGCTCGACAGGCAGAGACCATAGTTGGTACAAGCAGGCCGGCCATGAGTCTTCGACCAGACAGGATCATCAAGATACCAGCACAGGAGGGAACAGGCACATATCTTAAAACCATATCAGACAGATAGTGAGACTATCCCTCTGAGCAAGTGGTTTTTGCTCAAAGGGAATTCAAAGGCCTCTTTGAATTGTTGGGTTCTCTGTTTAAAATTCATAAGATCTTCACCTTACCATGTTAAGTGCCGTGAGATGACGTGTTGTGAGCTGCACTAAATAAATAAAATCGAGTTGAATTGAACTGAACTCCTAATAATAATCAGTAGCCACTACAGTGATTTTAAAACAGGTCTCATAGGAGCTCTCTTTCTGGTTCTGGTCATTTTGTACCATTTGTAGTTGATCTGTGGCTTTTTGGTAGACATGAAAGAGGAGATTCACAATAGAGCAGCCTGTTGGTAGTCAGATTGTGCTCTAGTTTCTCTGGGAGAGAAAAGCACGCACCCTGACAATATTCTGACCTTATTAAAGGGTGATTTGATCACATCATAAAGTCGGCATCCAAATCTGAATTAGCCTCTGTGATAACACTAAGGTTTCGAGGCTGCTTTGATGGGGGCAAAAATCAACATCTTTTTTTTTTTTTCCAGTCATGCAGATTGGAAAATATTAGCAAACAACACCTACAACAACAACAAAAACAAGATTAGAAATTGGATTTAAAGTGCAGACGACTGATGGATTGAGGTTGTTTTAAATAAGGAGGGATCTCACTATACTTGTTCAAAGTAGGGTTAAAGAAACACCAGTTTGTAAAGAACAGCTGATAAAAGCTTTTATCTCACCTGATAAACAGTTACAATTTCATTAAAGTGTTAGGGATTGGATGAAGTGAGGACTTAAGATGTGGTCCTACATTCACATAGAGTGGTGTGGAAGTCTAACATACCCCTTATTTGAGTAATGGCAGACCTGATGATGAACCGCCTTCATATGTGGTATCTTAAGGGCACAGGATCAATCAGATTGCCAAATCTAGAAAAAAGAATTTTTGGAACATTTATATTCTTGGCAAATGTCTTGGAGAAATAGGCAGCGTTCCTGATCTTCCTTAAATAATTAGATACAAATGGGAAATAGTAAACTGCTGGTAAACTCTCAAAACAGGTCACGTCTTCAAGGGTAAAACAGAGGTTTGTAACACAGCATTCAGTCATCTTCTGTACTCTCTGTACAAAGACAGACAACATGTCGATGAGTTACCACTAAATCTAGAGTATAACATGCTGAGTAAAATCAAGGGTGTTCAGAATATTTAAAAATTCCATGGCTTTGGAATATGACTTATTGTGCACGTATTGGTTAAAATCACACATAATAGTAACATTTATAGTGAATCATAGGTAAAAAATAATAATATGTTGATCAGCCACAGTGGTTTTAGAAACAGCTGCTGTGGACAGATAAGGAACTAAAGTATGTTTGGAGAAAAAGAAGCTATATGTAATGAAAACAACACATTTTTGCTATTTACCATAAGGGTGTAAATGTTCTGTTTCAGGGTAGTGTGGCAGAAACTGATACAGGACACTTTGCACAGATAGAGTGAAAAATGGATTTCACTAAATATGGGCAGTTCCTGAATGCAATTTTCCAGCAGTCAGTCAAGCAAGTGAACAAGGCTGGCTTCTGCAGCAGACCTCAGCATCCACCATGACAGTGGATAAGCTGAAGTGGCCCTCAGAGGCCCCTGACCTGAACGTTACAGATAATCTTTTATAAGATCTTGGACATGCTATGTGTGTATGAAAGTCCGAATATCACAGAACTGATCTAAGTGAGGTGATATGCAGAAAAAATGACTGACAATTCATCAATCATGAACTGATACACTCTTTGCTGGATCCAAAAAGCTCAACACTGACTAAGTAAGGTGGGCAGACATTTTGCAAAGAACTGTCTAGTTTCACATGTTAGTGTTAAAAACAGATGAACCAGCTTCAACGTCCTGCTTTCTTCCTGCTGCCCATGTGCCATGTGACATCATCAGATAAATGAAGAAATCCACATAAGCAAGAACATCTCTGAGCACAGTGAACACACACACACACACATACACACACTGTATTTGGGCAATCCTAATTAATTCCAATTAGAAATGCAAATAAGGAGCCACATCTTTGATTAAGCAGCAGTCAGGCTCCTTGTTGGTTTGTGATGTCCTCCTCTGACGCAGCCCAGTTGTGGGTAGAAGGAAGGAAGAAAAAAGTATCAGGATACAGAAAATGTTGTAATTAATGTAGAAATGCTTTACGTGAGATATTTCTAATTAGTCCCCAGTCCCTCCCTCTGTTGCATCAGACACACTTTTGGCCTGCCAACTTCCCCCTGTTCCACAAGATGCAGAGGAATTACAGACTAATTACATAGAGACGGGCACTGGGATTCATCTGGCCCTGCAAATTAACATATGAGCTAATTAGCATATGATGGAACTAATGACTAATAATTTAGCCAATTACAGGGCTGGGTTATCTCATTACACTTTTGGAAAAATGATGCTTGGAGGAGAATGTATTGTTTCAGTGACAGACAAAGAATCGACCAGAAGAATACTGTTTTTAATCTTTATGTATCTGTGTTCACCGTGCAAATGCTGAGCAGCTCCACTGGACCGGGGTGAGGGTCAGTGCCTTGCTTAGGGGCTACTCAGTAGATATGGATGTAAGGTTGACTATTATTGAGTCTCTCAAAATTTTTTCTAATAGCAATCAGTACAGCATTGAGAGATGCCTGAGTCAGAACTGTTGGACCCAAGTGTTGCCTTTTTTTAAATCAATTTATTTTTCAGCAGAACATGTTCAGACTCACATCATATGAAACAAATATTTTTACCTTCTTTGGGTTTGGAGAACTAGACATACAGATCAAACAATGGGTGAGGCAAGAACACAAATAAGGCAAAACTGAAATGAGTGAATATTGTAAATAAAATAAAACAAATTGCAGATGCACCTTGAACATAATATCAACAGCCC